AGACAAGTGATTAAAGGCATGGATGGCAAGCCACTTCATAAGCTGTAATATCCTAGGGAACAATAGAAAGCAAGAGTACAGAGAAGTGCTGGAGGCCCACTTCAGGCCCCTGTACTTCCTCATCTCCCTTTGCAATCATCACAAAAGATGTACAGAATGTCTAAAAGCTCTTCCCAGCTACATGATCTTCACCATTAATGCTTTCCTCTTTTTCAGTATTCTTGGGTCGGAAATGCCACAGAGTTGCATGTTAGAGTTCATAAAAGTTCTGTGATTAGAGCTGTGACAGCTCTCATACCAGTCTACACAGATTTATTTCTTCAAGAGAACACAGCAAGTGCCAAAGCACAAGAGCACTCACAGAGTGCCAACCATGAGGGACAACTTGCACACCATGAACTGGGCAAATCAGGCAGGTGTTGGGATGTTCTGGCAGATACCAGAACAATCCACATGTGACATCAGGACACACCATCTCTACTGAGGCCACTTCTGCACTGCACAAGTAAAGGAAGTTGAGCACATATAGATGTGTAATAAAATAATTGCTTGTAAATCCCACCTGAGGAGGAGCAAGGAACCATCCAGGTAAAATCTACAGCTGTAGGCACTACTACAAAAGCCCACTACTACATAAGAACAGCAACTTGTAGCATTCCCCAGCCACTCTATCTTGAAACATTGAACCAGAAAACGTTGTTCCATCAGACAACATTCAGCACTCTCCATCTCACCAGCTCTTAATAATGTTTGCCAGGTTTCCTGTACAAATCACAAACAGGACGGGGCTGCTGGGGAACGTGTCTCGAGCTGTTGTATTTTCCAACATCAGTCTCATTACATACCTATGACAATGGGAACATGCCAGCAGCTCACATCCCCAGCAGCAAGGAACTTAATGTTACAACTCACTTTATAATTTTTTGACCAATCACACAAAGCAAAAGCATATTGACAGTAGTTCTATCCAACCACCATAAGCACATGTAAGTTTGGTTAAAACAATGCTTGCTTATCTCAAATACAATACCTGCTTGTAAGCCTCAACACACATTGCACAGAGCACCATTATTAAGCTTAGAACATGTTTTCTAATGCTTATTTATGGGAATACTATTTTCAACCTTAAGAGTGGAACCTCTGAACAGCAATAGCACGGATTTTGTGCTTCAAGTTGAAAAAAAAAAACGTGGCAAGGGCACTATTTTAATACATGATTCGGCCTGTGTTGGAGAATGTTACTTGAAAATTGGTGGGGAAAGTTGATTCTTGGATTTTCGGGGCTATTTGTTTGTTTGTTCATTACAGAAGAGAAAATTTCCATTTCTAATGCTCTTTTAAGTCTTGAACATTGATTTAACTATTGATGCAAATTTTGCGAGAACATTTGAAAAGGACAATGTACTTCACACTACATCTCTTGTCAGAAATGCAAATCCTCAGGAAGATGGGCAGCAGGAACGCAGCAAATAAATTTCACTTTTGAAACACATACCTTGGGTCACACACCTCTCCCTGAATGCTAACCAGAACAACACGATACTTGCAAAAAGATCATAGGAAGATCATGGGAAATATCTGCCACACCTACCCGATTTTCTAAATTACTCTGCTAATAGAAAGATAATAGAGAACTTTTCTCCTTGAATATCCACTTTTCACCTTGCATCATACTTTCACATGACCATAATTAAAAAGAGGAGGGTAGTTTTCAACAAAAAGACAAATGAATATCAGCACGGGTATCAGTCAGCAAAGGCAATGAGGTCGTACACAGCGCCTGCGAGACTGTCATGAACACAGCGTGGCTGTCTTGAACTCCTTCACCCAACTCGGGTGGAAATGCCACACAGGAAAAACAGAACCCTCGTGTACACGGCCTGCGCGAAGGCGGGCGCGTTGTCGTTCACGTCCGACACCGGCACCCGCAGCCCGCGGCTGGCGCGCAGCGCCGGCGCCCCGCCGTCCTCCGCCCGCACCTCCACCTCGTACTCCGACACCCGCTCCCGGTCCAGCGCCTCGCGCAGCACCAGCGAGTACGAGCCCGCGAACGTCGCCTCCAGACCGAACGGCGACGCCGGCCACACCCAGCACCGCACGCGCCCGTTCTCCCCCGAGTCCCGGTCCGACACGCTCAGCAGGGCCACCACCGTCCCCACCGACGCGTCCTCCGCCACCGGCACCGACAGCGACGTCACCCACACCTCCGGCGCGTTGTCGTTCACGTCCAGCACCTCCAGCACCACCTTGCAGTGACCCGACAGCGGGGGCATACCCTTATCTCTCGCTTCTATTTGTATCTCATATAAACGAGCTTCTTCATAGTCCACGATGCCTGCCAAATGAATTTCACCCGTCTTCGCATTTAAAAGGAAAATATTTATTCCCTTTTCAGGAAAAGTATTGCTCACACTAAATGTCACTTCTCCATTACTTCCCAAATCCGGATCCGTGGCATTCACCCTCGCCACAAACGTCCCCTCCGTAGCGTTCTCCGGCAGTTGTACTTTATACACCGTCTGGTTGAATTGGGGCGCGTTGTCATTCGCATCCTCCACCGAGATCACCAGCTCCATGGTGCCCGTCAGAGACGGCCGGCCCCCGTCACTCGCCGTCAGCACCAACCGGTGCACGGGAATCGTCTCGCGGTCCAGAGATTTCGTGAGTACCAGAAACAGGGATTCTCGGTATTCCTCACTCCGCTCTAAATCCAGAGAGAAATGCTCGCTGGGGCTGAGTGTATAAGAGAGCTGTGCGTTCGCTCCGATATCCGCATCCGACGCGCCCTCCAGTGGGAAACGAGACCCCAGCACAGATAATTCCGCGATGCTGAGGTTCTTTCGGGCGGCGGGGAAGACGGGGGCATTGTCGTTGATGTCGGTGACCTCCAGCTGCACATGGAAGACGCGCAGCGGCCGCTCCAGCAGCACCTCCAGGCGCAGCGCGCACGGCGCGCTCTTGCCGCACAGCTCCTCCCGGTCGAGCCGCGAGCTCACCAGCAGCGCGCCGCTCGCCCCGCTCACCTCCACGCTCGCCCGCCGGCCCGGAGCCACCAGCCGCAGCCGCCGCGCCTCCGCCTCGCCCGCCTCCAGGCCCAGGTCCTGCGCCAGACGGCCCACCACCGTGCCGGCCTTGGCTTCCTCCGCCACCGAGTAGCGCACCTGCCCGCCCGCCAGCGCCCAGGCCAGCGCCTGCAGCACCAGCACCCGCAGCACCGCCGCACACCACCGCTCGCCCATCCTCCCTGCCGCCGCTGCCGCTCTCGCCGCTCTTGCCGCTGTGGCTGCCGGCCCCGGCCCGGGCCCCGCACGGCTCCCCGCCGCCGCCCGGACGCACCGGCTCTGCTGCCCGGCCCGCGCCGCCCCCCCGCGCTCACAGCCGGGCTCTCCGCCGCACCGGGGCGGAGCCGCCCGCACCGAGCCGTTCCTGAGCCTGCAGCGACACCGTGCGCTGCTCCGCCGCTGCACACGCCACGGCCACAGCACCCGCGCCGCCACACCGTCATTGCTATCTCCTCTGCCCTCTCTTCCTCTGTGCTCCTGTTAATTTTCTTGTCTCCATTTCTTTATCGCCTGCTATTTCCTTGCATAGGCTGTCCTTCCTTTCTTCCTTCCGTAATTTCTCTCGTTTTCATTGGTTTACTTTTCCCTTCGTTTTCCTACTCATTCCTTTTTATTCTTCCCGTTCTTTTCTATTGCTTCTTTACCTCGCTGTCTTTTTGCTCTATTGTCCTACCCTAGTATTTATATCATTTTACCTTCCTTCCCAATCTTCGTTCTTTACTCCCGCCGGCAATTCGCCAGTTGCCTTCTGCGCCGAGTTGCAGACAGTCAATGCTGGAGTTATCAGCGCCAATTATGGTATATCAGTGCTAATTATGGTATTTCAGCCCCAGGGCGCGGTGCCCCGACCAGGGAAAGGCTGTTCCAGAAAAGCTCTTCTAAGCGTGGAAACATAAGGTCGGTGCCTGCTGATCAGGTTCTTTATCTTCCTTCCTTTTGTTTCCATTCTCGTCATTCTTTTTTCTCTCTTTCCCTTCGATTTCCTGGTTCTCTTTACCTATGGCTTCTTCATGCTCTTAACTGATATATTTTTACATCGTCCTTCTCATTTTCTTTCCTTATCTTTTCTGTGCTTCTATTTCCTTTACTAATACTCTTTCAAAATGTTTATATTATACTGACAATGAACATGTCCTTTGGATAAAGTTCTCATTCCTCTTCCTTGCATCGATTCCTTCCATTGCTTCTTTTGATTCCACTTCTTGTCATTTTTAATTTTCTTGTTTTTTCTTCTTCTGTTTTTTTCTTTACTTTTTATTTCTCTCCTCGTTGTGAATCCTTTCCCTCCCCTGGGGTCCGTTGCGCCTTCCTTGTATCTTCTGTTGGTTTTTTATTCCTTAAGGAAAAGTTTTAATATAGCTACACTATTGCATCACGAAGCACAGACATATCCTTTAGCAAAAGGGCACTCCCCTTCCACCTCTCATTCCTCATGACAGGGAATAGCTTTCTTGCTTTCCTCCAGCACCATGCACCTGCAGCTTCCTCTCCCTTCAGGATCCAATCCACATTTGGAGCCTTAAATCATCTCAAGGACCCAAGAAATAAATCCACAAAGCAATCATATAGTAAAGAACAGCTTTGTTACATCAGAGTAGAGTCCACCCATGCAGACTTCTAATACAAAAAAGACTCCAGAGTCTTAAGTGACCCAAGGGAGTCTCTCATATACAAAATCAAACCCATCAGAGTCCAGCAAGACAATACTCCAAGAACACTGCAAAACAAGCATGATGACATCACATTCCTCCTTTACCTGGATGGAGAGCAATTCTGCCTAACCCATTTTTCACCTGCAGATACTTTAAAAAATTCTCCACGCCACTGTCATTGAAAGCATCCTCTGCATGCCCAGCACATCTAGTCCTAGAAAACCATTAAGAAAAGCATTAAGGTCACTTCTCCATCTGCCTTTCCTTCCCCCTTCTCAACCTGAGACAGGAAGCATCAGAAACAAATGAGTGCACAAAATGTGCTCCAAACCTACAGGAATTTCAATCCAGGCAATATTTAGTCAATCCAATGTAAAGATACCACAGTTGAACAGGTGATGCCTTAAGAGGCTCCCTAGAAGAGAGGCTAGGCACTGCTCAAGGAATAAAGCAGGTATTTACTAAAAAGGCCATCACAGGATAGACCTTGGGCAGTACAAGAGCCCCACCATGGCTACAGCCAAGAAAGACAACGGGTCATGAGTTTCCACACTTGGAAATGGTCTTTTGGTCCATTTCTCTGTTGGCGTTCATTGTCCAATTACAGCTCCAGGTTATGCAGACCCATTCTCCCAGTTTGCTCTCCTCAATTCCCTGTTCTTTGCACTTTTTGGGCCTGAAGGTGCAACGGTGTCCTTGCTTCTCTAGACTGAAAAAGGATTGTTTTGTGTGACTGAGCTGCGAGGAGAACTTTCTAACACTTCATATGAAGTTCAGAGTTATATACTAATGGAGTACCGAATCTGGAACACATGAAAAGTGCAGTACAGAAACTAGATAATATGGAAAATATATCAGTAATGCTAAAAGCTAAGGCTTCACAGGAACCAAAGGACACCTGTCTCGCACACACAGCCTCTTCTGGTAGGAGTAACTCACCTGTAGCATCACTGGTTGACTCTTCAGAAAAAGAAACTCCAGGACCAGGAGTACTTTATTTAAGAGACAGCATCCCTTAATCCTAGCCAGAAGACTAAGACCTGAGTGATGACTGATGCCATGTCCCAAGAAAGGCTGGCAGAATGACACAAGTTTCAAAAAGTCTTCTGTTTTATGAGGAAAATTCCACATCGAAGACAAGTGATAAAAGACAAGATGGCAAATCACTTCATAAGCTGTAATATCACAGGGAACAACAGAAAGCAAGAGTACAGAGAACTGCTGGAGGTCCTCAGAGGATCCCAGAAGAGCAGCATTAAGTGGTGGGCATTTTCACAAGGCATGGGAAATGAGATCTCCACAGCTAACCAGGCACTCTCCAGTTCCTCCACTGTGATGCAGGCCGTGTTCTACTCAGCATCTGCATTTCCCTGGGGCAACACTCCTGCCCACTCAAATTCACACTCTCCATCACACAGGCCCAGGCCTTATTTAGTTTCCACACACAGGATCACTGCCAAAATATCGAACATTGCTGAACCTCAGCAACATGCCCTGTCTCTAAACCCCACTCCAGGCCCTTCTACTTCTTCATCTCCCTTCACAATCATCAGAGAAGATGTACAGAATGTCTAAAAGCTCTTCCCAGCTACATGATCTTCACAATGCATGCTTTGCTCTTTTTCAGTTACTCGGGTTGGAAATGTCATAGAGCTGCATGTTAAAGTTCATAGAAGTTCTGTGATTAGAGCTGTGACAGCTCTCATACCAGTCTACACAGATTTATTTCTTCAAGAGAACACAGCAAGTGCCAAAGCACAAGAGCACTCACAGAGTGCCAACCATGAGGGACAACTTGCACACCATGAACTGGGCAAATCAGGCAGGTTTTGGGATGTTCTGGCAGATATATATAACCTCATGATATTTTCTTATTACATAATCCATGGTGTCCCCAAGCATTTTCACTTTCCCCACACAAGTCTTCCTGCTGCTCATGGTCACCCTTCCCACCTGACAAGGGCAAGGCCCTACTCTATACAACAGATCAAGTTTTCTTTACTACCACAAGGTTCAACATGACCTTTGCTTATCCCACCTAGCAATGACACAGCATAAAAATCCATGGTGATATTGGTATCATCAACATAGTGCATAAGAGATGGTCTGCTGCTGACACCTCATGTTTTCTAATGCTTATTTATGGGAATACTATTTTCACACTTGATGGTCGAACCTCTAAACACCAACAGCATTGATTTTGTGCTTCAAGAAAAAGAAATGTGCCAAGGGCACTATTCTAATACATGATACTGCCTGTGTTGGAGAATGTTACTTGAGAATTGGTGGGGAAAGGTGATTCTTGGATTTTCGGGCTATTTGTTTGTTCATTACAGAAGAGAAAATTTCCATTTCTAATGCTTTTTAAAGTCTTGATTACTGATGTAAGTATTGATGCAAATTTTGAGAGAACATTTAAAAAGGACAATGTACTTCGCACTACATCTCTGGTCAGAAATGCAAATCCTCGGAATGTGGGCAGCAGAAACACAACAAATAAATTTTCCTTTTGGAAAACATACCTTTGGTCACACACTCCCTGAATGCTTTATATTACTAACTAGAACACGATACTTGCAAAAAGATCATAGGAATATTATGGGAAATATCTGCCACAACTAGCCTATTTTCTAAATGAGCCTCCTAATAGAATATAATGGAGATTTTTTGTCCTTGATTACTCAGTTTTCACCTTGCATCATGCCTTCACTTGACCATAATTAAAAAGACTAGGGCTGATTTCAAAAAAAGACAAATTAATTTTAGCACGGTTATCAGTCAGCAAAGGCAATGAGGTCGCACACAGCGCCTGCGAGACTGTCAAGAACACAGCCTGGCTGTCTTGAACTCCTTTACCCAACTCGGGTGGGAATGCACACATCAAAACAGAACCCCTGGCTGTCTGCAAATCTCAAAACTCCGGCCATCTCTTGTAGCACAGAATAGTTATTAAATTCTAGGGTAGAACAACTCACGCTTAGAGGACCAAACCTCACCTGCCTACAGTAACTGCTCGAGGATGCTGCTTTATCTATATTCTGGATCCACCCCAGAAAGAGCTGGGGGCTCCAGCAATGTCGCCGTGACAGATGCAAACGTGCCATTGTCATTCTCAAGGACCCGCTAAGTACCCAAGATCCGCAAGCCGTGGTTACAGAGCCCCGCTTCAAACAGGAGCTTCTGAAGAGGGCGGATGAAAGGAACAGAGAAGGGAATGAAGGAAGGACCACTGACCGTGTCGAGGAGAGC